AGTCTTTTAGTTACCTCCATGTCTTGAATGGTTGTTGCTAGTTTTCTTGAATGTAGAAGACAAGAATCCTGTATCCTGTTCCAATGTAGTTGAGATTGAAGGGCCATCTTCAAATGTATACGAACATTCAACGTTATTCTCCTGATCCAAAAACGCTTGCAATGTTTCTTGAGCTTGGGCAGATGATTCTACACAAAAAAAAGAATTTATAAAAAGGGAACTTGTTTAATAAAAATTGTCACAAGCTAACTTATTAACCATGGTATTTAAATTCAATGTTATTTTAGGTGGAACAATGAGTGTGATTAACCACTGCAATGCCTATCTTCTGTCAAATGTTACATTGGGAGTCGTGATGGAATCAATAAATTCCCAAAGTATCTGATTACTTCATAAATTCTCAAGGTTTTTGTGCAATATCTAATCAAGAAAAGTGCTAGTCGAGTAGCTGATCGGTAAGGCAGGGGTGCCGATAACTACAGCCTTAACATTGGCACTGCTTCGAGCCACTCATCGCCCAGGGTTTGATTGGTAGAACTAAGCCTTCTTAAGGACCTAAAACAGGAAGTCCAATAACACACATGGTGAACATGGTTTACTTCAGCCTCTGTCATTGTTGAATGATGTGAACTAAGCTCTACATCTGTTAAATAAGTCATGGACCACACCTATATGCAATTCAGCACAGTGGCGCTGCTAGTTTTGGGTTATTCTCCTATCTTTGTACCTAATAAATTCCATTGAACCTACAGCAAACTGAATATACAATAAGCACTTAATAAAAATTGCAGAAAATAAGTTTGAACACTTATGGTTACAGCAGCTATATATTCTTTCAAAAACTGGTATAAAAAACTTACGACTTGAAGGCTGCTTCTTTGTAGGTGAACCCCTTCTTTTGGTAGCATTACCATAGAACTTAGATGGCTGTTGTTGTTGACTACTTAAGGATGAAAAATTAGACATAGAGTATGTTGCATACTTCTCAACAGGTGAAGGCAGTAGAACTGGATCTTGTTGGCATGGCAGTGAAGAAAATTGATTGTTTCTGGTACCCATGACATCTACAACAAACAGAACAAAATAATCCCCAATACAACAATATTTGCATCAACTTAGAGTTGACAGTAGAGTATAAGATAGTATAATACATACTCCAAGTATCGAAATGCACGCCATTGTGTCGAGATTCAATATTTCGACATTAATTATGTCATCATCAGCAGAGTATATTTACTCATTTTAATGTAAATTATTCACATTCACATATAGACAGGATTAAAATACATGTACTCCACTAAAGGGAAAGCACAGTAAAATTTCTATCTAAAAATTGTATTATAATTAATTACAACCTTATTGGTAAGATTTTCACAACCACTCTGAGCTCGGTAGTGAAGAATGAGAGAACCAAAGTGTGTCCACAACAAATACTTGGAACAATATATAACCTAAGTTGGCTAGGATTAAATATACACCCTAGTGTGAAAAACACTTTGGCTCTCAGGTCTGT